GATCCAGCTCTTCTTAAATCACTTTTGATAAAAGCAGTCTCTACGGTCAATTTGACCTCAGTTCAGGAGGAAAATCCTTCCACAAGCAAGGAGGCAAACCCCCTCTTTGCTAAAAAAGTACCACAGGACAAGTACATTCCTTGTCCTGAGGTTTTTCGCACCTCTGTAGAGGAGCAATGGGTTTCCCTAGCAACACCATCTACACCTAACAGCGTGGAAAGGAAGCTATTTAATGTGTCTCCTTCCTTTTCGGACATGCTAGATGTCCCCACAGTAGATAGTCCCCTGATTTCACTATTTTCCACTTCTGCGATTCCAGGAGACATGGCGGAGGCCTTGAAACCAGAGGAAAAGAAATTTGAGCACTCCCTCCATCGTTCCCACATGGCCGCAGCCTGGGCGGCCAAAGCGGCAACATCATCGTCGTTCTTCGCCAGGGCCTGTATTACGTGGCTTCGTGAGCTACAAACCATTGTACCTCCAGATCAGGTCAGATCTCACCAAACTTTGGCCAAGATACTGGCTGCGTCACAATTTATGGCTGACGCCTCACTTCACGCAACCAAGTATGCAGCAAGATCAATTGCGGCCACAGTAGCCTCTCGCAGATTACTGTGGCTCAAAAATTGGAAGACAGACCTAAAGGCCAAGTGGCGTCTATCCACATCCAAGTACAGTGGGTCACTCTTGTTTGGATCCATTTTGGATCCACATGTAAGTGAGCGTAGGGACAAAAGGAAAATTCTAGTCCACCCATCAAAGAAATTAGACAGGAGAGGTACTCAGGAATTCCGGAGACAAGGTTTCCGCCCAGGCAGCTCCTGGGACTGGAGACAGCCCTTTCGATCAGGGCAATCCTGGGACTGGTCTAGAGGCTCACGATCCTTCTATTCAAGACAGGATTGCTCCCAGGATCGCCCAAACATGGGAGCCAGAGGCCAATTCCAATCCAGGCGTCCCTTTAGAGGATCGGGAGGCCGACCCTTTAAACACTCCAAGTGACGCCATGCAGGACACTCCCATAGGAGGTCGGTTAGGGAATTTCATCGAGGTCTGGGAGCAGACCACTACCGATGCCTGGGTATTGGAAACAATCAGACATGGCCTGACCTTAGATTTTTGCTCTCCCCCACCAAACCGATTCATCAGATGCCCCATTTCCAGAAAGACACACAAGGCAAGGTTGGTAACCTCGGCCATTGCACACCTCTTGTCAATTCAGGCCATAGAAAGGGTACCAAAGGAAGAGGAAGGAAGAGGATTCTACTCCATCCTCTTCATGATCCCAAAGACATCAGGAGGGTGGAGAGCGATACTGGACCTAAAAGGCCTGAATTATTATGTAACCTACAGGAGGTTCAAAATGCAGTCCCTAAAATCCATCCTAGCCAGTGTCAGGAAGGGCGACCTCCTATCCTCATTAGATCTCATGGAGGCGTACCTGCATATTCCCATCCACCCCAAATACCGCAAATTCCTCAGATTTACCTACGCACACCGGCATTACCAGTACAGGGCCCTACCCTTCGAACTCTCCTCAGCCCCAAGGGTATTTACCAAAATCCTAGCAGCAATAGCGGCCCATCTCAGGTTGATGCCGGTGCGTGTTCAGTTTTATCTGGACGACATCTTGATTCAGTCCAGCTCGCACGAGCAAGCAAAATTAGACCTTCAGACCACAATCCGCATTCTACAGGATCACGGATTCTCAGTCAATCTAGAAAAGAGCCATCTCACTCCCACAAGGAAGCTCCTGCATCTGGGAGTGGTGATAGACTCATCCCAGTGCAGGGTATACCTTTCCCAGGAGCGTCGAAGCAGCATTTCGAAGCTGGTTCGTCAGCTTCAGAGAGACAAGAGAGTACCTTTGATACAGCTCTCAAAGCTCCTGGGGAAAATGATATCTTGCATGGACATTGTTCCATGGGCAAGACTCCACTCAAGGGAGTTGCAGTGGTTCCTCCTCCCCTATCAGAGGAGGAACCTCAGTACCTCCAGCAGGAGGGTCTTGGTACCAAATCAATTACTGAGATCACTAAATTGATGGATATCGCCCATGATGCTCAGGGGAAGCATATTCAGGGAACCGAACCGGGTCATGCTCACGACAGATGCGAGTCTATTCGGATGGGGAGCCCATATGGGAACCCAGATAGCGCAGGGCCAGTGGAATCAGTCGGACCTCACTCACAGCATCAATTGGCTGGAACTTCGGGCCATTCACCTGGCTCTACGTCAATTCTCCCACCTAGTAACGGGAAGGCACGTTCTCGTTCTAACCGACAATGTAGCAGCAAAGGCCCATGTCAACAAGGAGGGAGGAACACGATCCATGGAACTGATGCAGGAGGCATCAGCTCTGGCTCGGTGGGCGGAAGCAAAATTGGGTTCCATCAGAGCGGAACACATCTCAAGGGAGGCAAATCTCCAGGCAGATTCCCTGAGCAGAGCCAAGGTGGATCAGTCAGAATGGCGTCTGGATCCGGCTCTGTTCGAGGAAATGTCCCGGAGGTTCGGGCAACTGCACCTGGACCTATTTGCCACTCCGAAGAACACGCAACTACCCAGGTTCTTCTCCAGATTCCCGACTCCGGGATCGGAGGGAACGGACGCTCTCAGGTGTCGGTGGCCGGCGCAACTCCTGTACGCCTTTCCACCACTCCCATTAATACCGGCAACCATACGCAAGTTGATCCTGGAAGGTGCAAAAGCACTCTTGATTGCTCCACACTGGCCACGGCGTCCGTGGTTTGCCGACCTTGTGGATCTCTCAATATCACCCCCGTGGAAGATTCCCCTGGACCAAGTAAGACTCAGTCAGGGCAAGCTTCTACATCCAGACCCTCAATGGCTACAACTAGCCGCTTGGCATTTGAGCGGCAGAGTTTAGCCATGCAATCCTATTCCTCAGGGATGATATCGATCATTCAAGCATCAAGACGACCTTCGACAAACAGGATCTACGACGCTACATGGAAGGGGTTCTGCAGGTGGTGCTCTCTACATCACCTAGATCCAATTTCGGTGACTATTCCCAATATCTTAGACTACCTATTAAAAGGTCTTAATAAGGGCCTATCAGTCAACACCATTCGTAGACAGGTAGCGGCCCTCTCAACTGTCCTTTCCTGTGACAATTCAACTTCTCTGTCGCAACATCCGGCGATTAGCGCCTTTTTAAAGGGAGCAGTCAATACTAAGCCTCCTGTTATACACAGATATCCTTCTTGGAACTTGTCTAAAGTTCTTCAAGCCTTGACAGCTGCGCCCTTTGAGCCTCTCGACTCATGCTCTCTCCATCACCTATCATTAAAGGTAGCCTTTCTAGTGGCTATCACTTCAGCGAGAAGAATCTCTGAACTAGCAGCATTATCAGTCAGGAAGGATCTCTGTACCTTCTTCAAGGACAAGGTGGTCCTCAGACCGGACCCTGCATTCATTCCGAAGGTAAACAGCATCTTCCACAGATCTCAGGAACTGACCCTTCCTGATTTCTGTCCGAATCCCAGACATAGACTAGAACACAGATGGCACAAGCTGGATGTGCGTAGAGCGCTGTGTTACTACGTAAAGCGCACTTCGTCTTTCCGTAAGACGGAAACTCTATTTGTTTCCTTCCAACCATCAACTATGGGGAAGAAGGTATAATCTTCTACCATAGGAAGGTGGATCAGAGCTTGTATAGCCCAAGCCTACGTCTCTCAGGCAATTCCAGTGCCACCTCATATAACTGCCCATTCAACACGCAACGCGGCCACATCAGCAGCGTGGTCCTCACAAGCCTCGGTGGAAGAGATTTGTAAGGCCGCAACTTGGTCTTCTCCCTCTGTATTCGTCAGACATTACCATTTAGACTCCTTTGTGGCAGCGGATGCTGCCTTTGGAAGAAGACTGCTACAGCAAGTTGTCTCTGCTCAGGATCCAGGGGCCTAGACACTCCCTCCCAGGGGGACATGAGGGCTTTGGTATGTCCCATCCAGTAGACTCTGCAGCCATCCTGCTGGAGAAGGGGCATTGTCTTACCTGAATGCCTTTTCTCAGCAGGATGATGCAGAGTCCATACCCTCCCAGGTATTAGGTCTAGGCAGGCATTGGACAAGGAGCTACTATATAGAATTCAACAAACAACTCTCCTCTCAGTCAAAACTGGGGTCACGCCCAAGGGAAGGGTGTGGCCAAAGTTTTTACCCAGTCTGCTGGGCAGAAAGGCTGTCATAGAACCCATCCAGTGGACTCTGCATCATCCTGCTGAGAAAAGGTGTTCAGCTAAGACAACGCCCCTTCTCAACCCGCTTTATTCCATTTTTTTATTTCAATGTCTTATGTAACCAATTCTTACCACATTTAATTTATGCTTCTCCCAGCATAAACGTTTTATGTCCATATAACAAAGGGTAAAAGGATATAATTTTTGCATGTCCATTTTTACTTCTTTCAACAAATATTTATTCATTGCAACAGGTACTTATATTCATCAATTTGTCTTCTTAGTGATTAGGAAAAAAAATATCTGGTGGGGTAATGTGTATCAAAGACAGAAGTATCTCAAGTGCCTCAAGGGAAATGTAGCCAAGCTCTAGCTGAGCAAGGGCATTGTAGTTGAATATGGAACATAGAGTATGGTTTTAACAAACGTGAATGGCTTCTAAAATAGCATAAATATGGAATTGTGTACCATAACAAGTCTAGGATGGTGCTTTATAGATTTTTACTGCTACATGATGATGATCACATTGTAAGATTGCATTAGAAACTAGTCATATTAGAAATTAGAAATTAGTCATATCAATCTTGACCTGGCTATCCAGCTGCCAAGATGAACATTTCAAAGATTGGTGGGCAAAACAAAAATAGAGTTGTGGTCACGTGATTTTCCATTTAGCAATTGCTTCACTTAATATCAGAGATACTAGTCCCAATTGTGATTGCTAAAGGAGAGGTATCTGTACTATATTTCAAAATGCTACACAAAATTCTCATAAAACTTTTCTGTTTTCAAGGTGTAAAACCAACTATGGGTTTACCTGTTCCAAGTGTTCGTGAAGTTCATGAACTGCTGCTAGCTTTGCAGAAGAATTTGGAGTGCCCAATTTGGTATGGAAAAAAAGCAGTTTGAATATCAAGATTTCATTAAAAACATACAATATCTAACAATCCCCAGGAAAGACTGTTCCAGAAATAGAGAGGAAAGTACAAATGATCTCTTTCTTAAATAAAAGATCTCTTCCTGAGCTGCTTTTCTCCCAGTGCAAGGCTTTCCCAAAAGATGGTAATCACAAGTTAATAAGCCAGTTCTATGATTTTAATTAAACTATTTGCAGCTGCTTCTTGTAACTGACAAGAGTTTAATCACTTTTACAATTTCAGCACTTTGTTTGCCACTCTTAGTGGCCCAGAACTAGGAACTATGGGGGGGGGGGCACTAGAGAAACAGCTGACACTAGCACATTCTTTTTGATGTGTATTTCTCATTTTGTTCCTGCTTACTCTTTTGTAATGCTTTCCTCTCCACTGATTGTAAAGAGAAATGTTAATTCCCTTCTTGCTTATCCCAGTGGTGAACACTGAGTGAGCATTACAAAGGGCAGGGTAGTGAGGGAAAAAGGAAAGCTGAAGCAAAATCATAAGGATTGGCACAATCACTGAATTTCCAGTTAGTGACTACATAACTTAGTTGCAGTCCCAATTGTGATCTCTAAACAAGGACTACCTGTATAATACAAATATTTAATATATCCTGTTGATACAAAAAGTTGATGTGAATTATTCCAAGTTTGCAATCACACATGCTAATAAAATATTATTGCAATAATACAAAGTACATTTTACTTTTTACAAAATTACTTAATGCAATTATTTTTGCAATGTAACATCAGTGGTACTTTGAAGCTTCATATTTTGTGTAATATGGAGCTGTGCAGCCATATTTTTGAGTTAGTTTTTTTTTTATACAATTTCTTTGAGGGCAAGGCTATTCTGATATGCAATATGTTCAGTATTCTGTCTCTTTTACTAAATTGTTTTTTCTACTCCCGTTTTATTTTTTTTTGTTTTTGAGAAGTTTTAGATGTCCTCAACACAGCTTAAAGTAAAATACTAAGTATATAAATGTAATGATTATAAAATGAACACTGTACTAAAACAACTATGATAAATATAGCTAACAGCTCATAAAATATATAAAATCAATCAGTATCAATTATGGGGAAAAGGGCAATTTTGATTTGGTTGTTAAAGAGACATTAATGAAAAACCTAGGCTTTTATCCTTAGGGGGTATTTAATGACTGAAATAATACAACCACATTGTTACTGATTACCAACCATTTTGAAGCTTTTATTAATTCAGCATAATTAAAAGAAATAATATTTCTACTCTTCTCCAAAGTTACTGATATTCCAATCCAGACAGAATTCAAATACTGTGAGATACAATAACTGCATATTGGTGTGAAAAACCTGAGAGCAATCTTTGATGGGACCATACAACATTAAAGTTTAGTAATCTAATTAATACAGTAATATCAATAACATATTTATTGATATATGGAAAACATTAATATATTTCATAAGCAAGACCCTTCATGAATTGCTATCTTATAGAGATAAGGAGACTGTCTCATTCATGCTAACTGTCTCATTCATGTATCATTAGAAGTATATACAGGTGGTCCTCAACTTACAAGCACAATTAAGCCCCAGATTTTTATTGTTAAACAAGACAGTTATTAAGTGAGTTTTGCCTCATTTTACCACTTTCCTTGCCACAGTTAAGAAAATCACTGCAGTTGTTAATAACATGGTTGTTAAGTGAATCTGGTTTCCTCTTTGACTTTGCTTGCAAGAGAGTCGCAAAAGGTGATCACATGACTCCAGGACTCTACAACATGACAAATTCATGCCAGTTGCCAAGTGTCTAAATGTTGATCATGTGATCATGTGGATGCTGCAAGGGTCATAAGAGTAAAAAATTGTCATAAGTCATTTTTTTCAATGCTGTTATAACTGAACAGTCACTAAACAAAATATTGTAAGTTGAGGAGTACCTGTACTTTCAGAAGAGACATTTATGACAGTAATCATAGACAAACGATCAGACTATGTACAATTCACTGAAGAAGAAAATGGCAAACCCACTTCGGTATTTGATCAAGAAAATATAACAGGGACATCCAGAATAATGCCAATAGGGAAGAGACTTCCAGTTCAGTTGGTATGCAAGAAATTACTTTGAAAAAACAGAGGAACAGTTCATATGCAGTGGTATTCATGATGTACCTGGGTTAAAGCCAAAAGAATATCCAACTGCTGAAAGTTCAACACTGCAAAGAAATGTATACTGTACCATTATATACGAGATGTTATTATCATGAATTAGAGCAAACTTTGAAGGATGCTTTAATTCAGCCTCTTGCACTGAATTGGGCTTGACCTTAATGGCCTTGAATGATTCTTTCTAGTCTTTTTTCTATACACAATATTAATGTAGGCCGAAATTCATCCTGTTTTTTCTATGTGGCAGTGACCAACTGAATACATTCAGGAAATCACAAAACAGACCTTGGAACAATAGCTCTTTTCTCCTATTGTTTCTTTACAACTAATATCTTCTTATCTGGTTTTAAATCAAGAGGATAAAATATACCTTCATTGTTGAAGTCATTGATGATCTCTAGGCAAATTGTCCCATAGCCTCAGGCAATGGAACAGTTTGCCTAAAATAGTAGTGAATTTCAACCAAGAGCCACATGTTGCAAGCTCCTTAGTTGATGTCTGCACATAGCAGAAGGTGATTTATAAATATCTTACAGTTCTGATATTCTATGATTTTAAGGGAAAAGCTCAAATGCAGTAATCTGTTTTCATAAGATCTGGTCATTTTTAATTGTCCTGTTCTGCATAATTTCTAATTCAATATTTTTGAGGTTTAACAAAATAAATTGTATATCGTATTCAAATGTGAGGTGCAAGATATATTTATATAGCATTACAACATTGGCAGTTTTATTTTTTATTCCTTTTCAAATGATTCATAGCACGGAATTTGCCTTTTTCCAACTGTTTTCAGCACATCAGGTTGAATTTTTATTGACATATTTATCACAATTCTATTCTTGCTTAATCAGTTCCAGTTCAAAATTGTCACATATATGTACAATCCAATAAGCATTATTTTGTTTTTATTTACATTGAGCTATTCATGCCATTTTAAAGCTTATTTATCCTATTTAGAGACATTTTGGAGCTCTCCATAATCTTTTGTCAAAACCTTACCTAAATGAGAAATTTCAACTTTGTGATATATGAATATGGATAAATTACCCCAACTTTGTCCATATTTTTTTAACATTGATATTCTTCCGAATTATTTGTTGTCATGGCAGCAAGTACTTGGTGTTATATCAGGCATTATGCTTCACACTGGCATTTTATTTCTTTTACTTTTCCTCTCTGCATAGCTAATTTGATTAGATGGTTAGCTAAGGAAAGGACCACAATATAAAACTTTGTTCTCTACAGCGTGGTATAGGGATTTATAGACCACTGAAGCACAATTTTCATACCTTATAAATGAGTTTTATTTTACAAAAGTTTATATCAGAATAAATCTATTATACTTTATTACAAGATTAGAGTGTGTATAATTATTAAAACATGCTAGAATGGCTACTTCACTAGCATTAATTCCTAGAATTACAATATATTGAAGATACTGTGTATGAAATGCATAGCTTTGATGTTTTATTTATTTATTTCAGTTTGGAGGTGATAAAAGAGCCAGTCTCAACAAACTGTGCTCATAACTTTTGCAGGTAAGCCTCCACTTTAGATTATCAAAGCTTGAATATATCGGCTTATTAATTGATGGTAATGAGTGTTATAGTCTCATGCATCTGGAGGACATATGACTATGAAAGGTTCATGTTAGAATGTCAGTGTTAATTCTTAGAGGTTTCAATAGCAATAACACTTAGACTTACATACCACTAACTTCATAGTGCTTTACAGCTCTCTCTAAGCAATTTACAGAGTCAACAATTTGGATCCTCATCTTACCAACCTCAAAAGGATGGAAAGCTGAGTCAACCTTAGAGATTAAAGAGAAAGAAGATTCAGTTTACTTTAGAACATGGGTTAATTTTTACCAATGGTTAGGAAATAGAACTAGTGAGAAATGAATGTGATATGTTATTTTGAATATATATATTCAGTGCTTTTTTTCTAAAAAAAAAAAAAAAAAAAAAGGTGCCAGAACTCACACACATCATACAACCCGCCTTGCCTATCCTACAAGGTTCCATCCAAAAAAGATGCCGGAACTCCGTTTTGGACGGAGCCCTGTATATATTAGTAAGAAAAATGATATGCATTGACTAACTGATACTGTTTGTGATTATTGTTTATTACATTTACTACAATTATTTATTACTATATCAACTATTGTTAATTGAACCCGGACAATAATCTGTTTGCTGAAGATTGAAAATGTTAGTGGGGGATAACCCCAATGCTGATTCCAACCTCGTCCTCCCGCCAATCCTGATCCTAACCCCACCCTAAACCTTAATCCCTACCCCAATCCTATTCTATCCCTAACCCTATAAAATTCAATAAAAACGTTTACAAAAGAAAAAGAAAAGAAAGGAGAAACAAGGAGGGATGATCTGACTTTAGTAAGCTGGCTTCTTTCCATTACTGAATTGAAAAAGTTCTCTTTATTTACTACCAATGATTTTTCACTGGTTATGTTTATGCTATACCCATAATTATAATGAATGCTTTCACTAAAAATAACAGGAGCTAATAATGGTATTCTATTCTTTTGTTCCTGAAGGAGAGACTATGGAGGAGTAAAAATTTAAAAAACATAAGCTCCTGCTGTTTGTCGATATAAAACTCTGAAATAGAAGCATAGAAAAGGGAAATAGTTTATACTTACAAATATGCAAATGTGCCAGGAGGAAGATTAATATTTTTTCCCAGGGTAACCTTTTTTGGGGGGGGGGAAGGGTCAGTGAGAGACTAAACATGCTGTTTTTCGCTCTCTTTTTTTTTTTTTAAGGTCCTGTGTTTTTAAACTGCTTAAACTGAAGAAAGGTGTAACACAGTGTCCACTTTGCAATGCTAAGGTCACTAAAAGGTAAATTCTTTCTGGCGCAAAATATATTCCACTTGTTAGGAAGACCAATGGATGAAATGCTAAATTGAGCATGGCCATTCTCAGAAGGATGAGAGTGCTCACTATTCAACTGCTAACACCAATCTCTGCAATGGGGGCATTTATGTAAAAGGGTTGCAAATACTTACAGAATAAGTTATTATAGCATATTGATTAGTAGCTCCATCTAACATTTTTTGGCTTGTTTCAGAAGTCTGAAGGAGGATACCCGACTCAAGGAAGTAGTCAAAGAAGTTCTAGAAACCATCCATGCTTTCGAGTGCGATACTGGACTGAAGTGTAGGTATTGTGCCTTACCATGAACTTCATAGAAGGTTTTTTTACTGATTTTTTTGTGATGCTGAATTGTATGACTGAGATTCTGTTTTAAAGTTTGACTTCCACTGTTGATTTAAAATTCTAAATTATATTATTTATAAAGTTTGCATCTTTTTCAACCCTTGTTTCAGTCTCTAAAACAGGTAATACTATCTAATACTATTCTGATTTTGGAGGCTACTGATCCTTCAAACTCTTGCTATCGACTATGCTGGCTATGTCGATGAATACTGAAATCTGAAATAGCTGGACATTGTTAGATTGGCCTACTTATGCTCTAATATATTTAGTAGTATTCTCAGAAGTACAGCTTCCATACATCTAGTTCAAAGACCATGATATAATTTGTTGTTTTCAGGCTCTGGAGCTTTTTTTCATTCTTTTTCTTTTTTTGATTGATTAAGATTCAAGTTTGGATTATGTCTAAAGCAGTGGTTCTCAACCTTTTTAATGCCACGACCCCCCCAACCAGTCGTAAGTCGAGGACTAAACTGGCCGTAAGTTGAGGACTAAACCGGTTGTAAGTCGAGGACTAAACTGGTCATAAATCGAGGACTTTCCCTGCCCGGGAGCGCCGTGCATGCGTGGTGCCGCCCCCTGCGCCGGCCGAGGTGTAGCTGGCAAGCGGCAGAGACCGAGCAGGCCGACCACCGGCTGGGCCACCAGCTGGCCCAGCCCAAGGGAGGTAAGGCACCCACCGGGCCCCACGCACACCAGCAACCCTCCCTGTGCCCGCTGGCCTCCCATCTCCCACCCCTGGCCCCCTTTTACTTACATTTTTAGTAGTTGCTTAGCAGGGAGGGGTGGAAACTTCCAGACAGCTCGCCTTCGCTGCAGACAACTTGCAGCACCATTTGCAGAATTTTGGCGGGCTCAGCACGGCAGAGACAGCCTGGACAATTCTTATTGGCTTTTGAAAGCCAATAGAATTAGACTCTATTCAAGAGAGTCTATTCTATTGGCTTTCAAAAGCCAATAGAATAAAAGGGAGTAGCATAGCTAAGGAAAAGGGGGAAAAATGGCGGACTGCGTTGTTTGGCAACCCCCGTGAAATGGTCGTTCGACCCCAAATGGGGTCGCGACCCACAGGTTGAGAACCACTGGTCTAAAGACACAATCCAATTGGTGAATGCATCTCACAACTAAGAATGAGTATGTCTTGTAGGTTTTATATTTTAGAAATACATTTATTAAAAGTATTGCTATAATAAAAATAGCTTAATTGATGATGATGTTTTTTGCCACTGCTAAAAGCCTCACTTCCAAATTTTAGTCAAAAGAATCATCAGAATGTTTGCATTGTACCATTCATTCCATGTACATTTTGGTCTTAAGTACACCAGAGCACAATGGTAGAAAATCAACTTTTAAATAAAAAAGCCACAAACAATTCAATCAACTAATATAAAATATCTGGCAAATAAATGTGTTTTGATTTAGTACAGTGGTTGTCAACCTGATCCCTACCGCCCACTAGTGGGCATTCCAGTTTTCATGGTGGGCAGTAGGGGTTTTGTCCGATATTGAAGCATTTTCCTTTTTTTTTTAATTTAATTGACTTTTTAAAAAAATTTCATAGCATTATTTAAAAACATTTTCATTAGGTTTTCATAAAATTCCCCGTGACAATTTAAATTTCTGAAAATATACTATTTGTATCGCCCGCGCATAAGTTTAGTTCACATTACGTAAGTGAAACTAAATGGCACTATAGTGCAACCGCAAACAAAAGAGCCTTGTCTCAGAATAGCTCACGCATCTCCCCCCACACCACCCAGCTGTAACAGACAAGCAGAGCTGGTAGCCGGTGCCCCCCCAACCCAATTCACGATGCGCAAGAGGCATGCGCATACGACGATACACAGTGCAGGCTCATATTGTGAGTCCATGTCTCAAAAAAAGATACATGCTCGTAACTATTTGCCAGCTATCTGAAGATGGGTTTCATAGAATCTGTTGTAAATAAACAACATCCAATGTGTTTATTGTGTCATAAAACATTATCCAATGAGGCAGTGAAGCCAAGTCGATTGCGAGAACATCTTTCTACAAAGCTTCCAAATGATAAGGACAAGCTCATTGAATATTTTCAGGAAATATATAAAAAATTTCAAAATCATTCAACAATCATTGCATCATTTAAGAAACAACATGCAGCAAATGAAGATGGATTAATTGCCGCTTATCTCATTTCACAATTAATTGCAAAAAGTGGTAAAAGCTATAATATTGGAGAAACTGTAATAATACCCTCTATAAAAGAATTTATCTCAACAGTAAAGAATCAGGATATACCTGAAATTTTAAAAACATTGCCCCTAAGCGATAGCACAGTAAAGCGACGAATTGAAGAAATGGCAGTTAATACTGAAAAAAAACCTGATAAGTATTCTCCAAAACTCTTCATTTTCCATGTAAAGTCTACCAGTGCAGATAATAATGCTTTATTGATGGCATATGTACGTTATTTTGATGAAAACAATACATTACGAGAAGAAATGCTATTCGCAAAAAAATCTCATTACAGATACAAGAGGATTATCTATATTTAATACTGTGAAATCATACTTTACAAAAAATAATATTCCTTTGAATAATATTGTTGCATGCGCTACTGATGGAGCACCATCAATGGTAGGTCGCTATTGTGGATTTGTTGCTTATTTGAAGGAAGAAGTGCCAAATGTTTTATGTATTCATTGTGTGGTGCACAGACAACATCTTGTAGGAAAACATCTAAGTACAAGTCTCCATTCATCATTAATTATAATAATTTGAGCCATAAACAAGATCAAATCCAATGCAAAAAATGATAGAATTTTTTGACAGCTTTGCCAGGACAATAATGAAGATTTTATTACGTTACTTTTGCACACAGAAGTTTGTTTGTTTGTTTGTTTGTTTGTTTATTTATTTATTTATTTATTTATGAGACTTATATACCGCTTTAAGTGCAAGCACTCTCTAAGCGGTGTACACCAGTAAGCAATGTGCTGTCAAAGGGTACATCTTTGGCTTGTTTTGTAGCATTATATGATAGTGTCATACAATTTTTTGAAAGAAATAATGAGACAAATCTGTGTCAACAGTTAAAAACAGTACAGAATGATGCCTTTTATTTGGCAGATATTTTCAGGAGATTTCATGATGTCAATTTGCAGCTTCAAGGAGCTAACAAAACTCTTATAGGTTGCCAAAGTATTGTGTCATTATTTATTGACAAACTTGAACTACTTCGTTATAATCTATTGAAGAGAGAATTTCATCAGTTTCCTGAATTATCATCTATAAAAGATGATGTAACTCTAGAGGGTGTTGACAGATTCAATAGCCACCTCAACGAACTTAAATTGGGCATGGAAAAACGATTTGAAGATATTTTGAAATTGAAGGTGTATGACTGGATGAAAAATCCTTTTACCGCAAATATTGAAGAGGCTGATACAACTTGCCAAGAAGAACTGTTAGAAATTAGATATAATGAAGAAAGTAAACATAAATTCGATAGTGGTGGATATGAAAACCTATGGCAAAGTAAAAAAATGCCTGTCTTATATCCAAATATATGGAAAATGATATTCAGTTTATCGATACCTTTCTCTACTTCATATCTTGTGGAATCAGGCTTTAGTGCTGTTAATCATATTATGACCAAAGAAAGAAACCGCCTGAATATTTCCGAAAGAGGAGACCTTCGTTTGTTCCTTACAAAAATTGAACCAGATATCCAGTATTTAGTTTCGCAGCATCAGCCTCAGGGATCTCATTAATAATTTAATTAATTAAATGTAATTTCATCAGACTTCATGCCTCTATGTATGCAAAGTATAAATAAAAAGATAGATTTAACTACAGTAAGTTGTTTTATAAAGATTTATTCTGCCAAACTTAGCGAAAGTCTGACATAAAGTATTTAGTAAGTAATTATTATTATATGCTTTAACTTGCTGTAACTCTGCTTTATAAATTTTATAAAATAAAGTTACTTCCCTACTTTATAAATCACCATTACTGTGGAACCGGTGGGTGGTTAGAAAATTTTACTACTAACAGAGATACAAAAGTGGGCGGTAGGTATAAAAAGGTTGACTACCCCTGATTTAGTACTATATTTTTTTTTACCAGTGGCATCTCAATGAGAGATAGCCCATAATTATGAATCTTTATCACATAAAGGAACTCCTAGAGCCAGCGGGCCGGTTTCATCATACTGAAGCCATGCCCACCCCATTGCCGGCAATGCAAAAAGGGTCATGATACGTTGCAACATGTCACGTGACGTGGCAAGTTTGACACCTGTGTCCTAGAGGAAGCAAAGTCTGGTGTTTATTGCTATCTCTTCTCTCATCCCAACTGCAAATGAGAGGTTGCAACAGCTGCCTCATTAAAGTTATCTATAGTGGCTACTTGCTCCTCATCAATGACTGAATATCTTTTTTTAAAAAACAAGTTTTATTAATTTTCCAATTTTACAAAAATCCAAGTATTAAGGAAGCAACATGGTATTAGGTAATCCATAATCCAATAACAAGCTCTTTCATACATGTCAGGTTACATCTTCAAAATTTTCCTCTCTATTTCCCTTGGTTATTATATCACATTCAAATTAATATATTGCTAGTTATAACTCAATTGGTTAAGACATTTATCAATATATTTTAACTTATATGTATCCATGTCCTATTTTTAAATTTTACCTAATTTCAATCACAGCATTCCAGTAAGCTTAATATCCATAGTATTTAGATTTTGGGTAACCCAAAGTTCCCTTAATTCATTATAAAATAGTTGTCATATCTAAAATACACATTATTTACTCAAATAAATTCTTACTTTATTTCACAAACATATTCTATTTCTCATCCTAGTACCTCATCACTTACTAATAAAATAACTTTATTATCTCAATCCAACTTCTCTATTATAATTCAAAACTGTTATTCTAGTGACTATTTTTTTAT